ATGAATAAAGTATCTATCTAATCTTATCTAATCTAATCTAAACAATAATGTTTATCTGATATGTTTTTTACCACAAGAAAGTATAATTCATCTACTCGTTCTGTCTCCTACTTCACTGTATGTGAACTGGTGGCTATTTGTGATGTCAAAAACTATGCTCATAGGCCCCGCCCCTTAAAATCAGATTTTCAATGAGCACAGATAAACTTTTAGCGGATGATTCTGCACAGTGAAGATAAAGTCTTAATTTTTTTTTATATCGCCTCGTCTCAGTTATACATGTTAATAAGTTGGTAATGTTTGGATTTTGGTTCAGATTCTAAGTTAACTGGTTTGTTCAAGTATGAATGTGAATTTCACATTTGAGGGAATAAACCCACCACTGCTGGTCCCAGTGCTGCTAATGTACATGCTTATGAGCAATCAGATCTAGTGAAATCTTAGTCAGTGGCCTGCATTTGCAGACAAGTGCAGCTCTTTGTCCTCCTGTCCATCTGCCTTGAAGTGACACATTTCTGTGTCTCACTATGACATATTTTTTAAATTGTTGTGAAACTTGCTTCAAATGATCAGAGTTATATTTCTCACAGAGTGGATAGGAGAACATTTCACACATGAGAAGCTACTGACAAGCTGTCCATTTTCCCTCCATCCACTCTTGTCCTCAAGCTCATGGACTATCCCTGATGGGACCCCCTCCCCACCTCCCTCATTAACTCCCAACAGGCTCCACTCCCTCCCTCCCCATGGAGGAAGATCTCTCCACTAATATCAGTGTTGTGAGGGCCCTCAGGGGGGCCCTGTGGCGGCTGGTGGCTTGCCATCGATTGCTCCAGCCAGGAGTAAAGAGCCCCCCTGCCTGGCTTTCCTCTCCACCTCCCTCCCTCTCACCCCCCAGACACTGACCTTGAGGGCGCCACAGCCACGGTCCCGCAGTAGGGGGCAGTAGTACATAATGATAGCAAATGGATGTGGGGGTGGGGGGGGTTGGAGAGATGGAGGGTGAAAAGGGACAGCACTTAAACACAACACTACCGTATTTTCTGCTTGCAGAGAGAGGTGCACAATTTCACCCCGTCCGGCCTTTTTCATTTAGCAAGGATATATTCTCCACTGGCCGGCCTGGCAGGCAGTGGTTGCCCATGTGCTGTGGTCGGCCTCCGATCGGCGAGCCGGCGGAGTGTGAAAGCCTCGCAGCAGTTGCCTAACCACCACTCTCACGATACAGATGCCAGCCCTCTGCTGGCTTGCGCACCAATAACTCGATAACAGTTTCTCCAGCCGGTAGGTTCCCTGTGTTTGTGTAAATTGTCAGTATTTTGGTGGGGTGGGTAGGGAGGGGATCCAAAGTGTTCAAACTCAAATGTCAGTTACAGCTAAGGCAGGTTTCAGAGTCCAAAAGTTCAGAGGGAAGGAAAAGTAGACTGGAATGTGAATGACAAGCCAGCAATAGTGCATCTATCAACAGTGCAAATGCAAAGTTGCATCAGTATCCTGATATCAGGCTGGCATTTTGACATTTTAATAGAAGATGTTTTCTCTGTATGATGGCTGTTACATCCATCTAGTTTATGTATAAAAGAACATGAGAACCAAGACCGGATGGTTGTGGAGTCACAAGACTAGAGGGACACATCTGGTGACTTTAGACAACATTTTCACCAATCACTTGAGACTTTACTTGGACTTCAACCTTTTGACTTGGAATGATAATGGTACCCTCTTCAAGAGATGTTCCAATTTTTATATTCCTGATATCGATTCTGATACCTGAACTTTGCATTTTTAACAAGCATATACTACTAAGCCTGTATGATTACTACTGTTTTGGGTCGATGAACAGAAACACAAATAATTGGACCTGACTTAATAGTCAAGTCTTGAGACTTGTCTGATGTACTTTGTTCAGTGTCTTCAACATCATATGCTTAATTTAAGCATATTTATTTGAATATTCTAAACAGCTCCATAAGTACAGCTGAGTGAATGACTTGTGGATAAAACAGTGTGTAAAATATACTGAAAGTCAAAATCACCAAACCTAGAAGTTAAGTTCTGGAAACAGTGGAAGTTTGGGTGTTGAACTGTTTGGGAACCCCGTCCGTTAAAGAAAGTGGAGGCGTTTGAAAGAGGAGGATCTATGGAAACATTCACAATGCTGCAGTGTGTGCAGGTTTTATGTGTTGTCAATGTGAGTTCTGATGTAGCCTGAACATCTGCTGGGGTGTGTTCTGCTTCGCAACTCGGCAGCCGTCAAACTGGTATTCCCTTTTCATTTTGTTTGTTCATTGGTTGTTTTTGTGTGCATGCACAGGATATGTGGGTGTACTGATAATCATATGTGTCCACACAATGCCATTCCTGTACCTACTGTAGTTCCTGAGTTGAGAGCTTGTTGGGGTCGCAGGGACAAAGTGTTTTGATGGTGCCTTTATTTGTGGGTGTAACAAAATGTTGGTGGCCTGTTAAGAAGTTCCAAAATGCTTTGTTATGCTGAGCTTTCAAAAATCTGGGATCTCTCAAAATTATTTTCTTTCAGCCACCAAGTTCTGGTATCTTGGGAAAGCAAAAAATATTTTCACAGTTTCCCCTCTTATTTTTAAAGTTTCACCAATAATTTTGATTTCTTAACAATGGATTATAAAACTATGTAATGGACACCAAATAGCTCTACATGACTCTGTCCGGTCATTGTTTCGGTTTTCCAGCAGCTGTTTTTAGCTAAAAGATACAAAAAGCTCTGGTACCCACTTTACACTACTTATTCACAGACAGTGGAGCATTTAGCAGCTAAAGAGTGAAATATTTTTCTCTGGAGTAGTAGGCAGAGGCTAGTACAAATTCTACCGTTCATAAGAACTGCCCCTCTTTACCATTGACAGTAAGAGCTTCCAGGTCTGAAAAGTGAAGACAACACGAAGTGTCTTAAAACCTGCATTCTATGTAAATTCCAGCAGGGGGAGCTCCATTGGCTGCAATAACACAGAGATACCATTCACTTGAATGGAGAATCAGCTGACTTGACACTTCCTTTATGAGCTCAGTAAACAGTTTCCTGATGAGTTTAAGGTCTCAGTCACTAGTTTCACATCTTCTTCAATACATTATGATGTTTATTTAGTAAATGATGGTCCCATTTAGAGTAAAATACACGATAACGCGGTGTATTGCTTTTGGGCGGGGCACCTTTGATTGACAGGTCACTATCCTTCCAGCAGCAGACATGCATGGAAACTCGGATCAAACTGTCAAATTAGGCAGTGCTGATCAAATACCAAACTAGATTCTGTTACTACGTTGCCTATTTCTCGCTTAAAATCGTTTCAGAAACATTTTACTGTTTAGCTGTAATATGAGATTGTGTCAATCATGATATGAAACACCCTTTTTATAGCTTCAAATAACTGAACTTATCAGAAAGAAAGATGTGACTTATATGTCACTTTTATCTTTTAACCAACTTTAAAATGTGGTTGTCTTTTCAACATAGATAGCATATCTAAGTAGGCTACAGGAAAGGAGGAAGATAACTGTTCCAAAAGGGGCGGGACTAAAGATGGGTCAATTCTGGACTCTGTAAATAGGCATTCTCTGTGGACCCCTCCCTGCTACTCAGCCCCGTTTGTCCCCCTTAGACCTACGTCCCTGGTTGGAGGAGACCAAAGATAGAGGTAAAAGGGAGTGAAATCATTAGGTGGGCACAAACACCACTCAAAAAAAATGCTAGTTCCTCTGTGTCTACTGGATGTCCAAATAAGCGACTGTTGCTAACACTAGCAATTCAAAATATAAATGTAATCAGGTGACAGTATGTCAGATGTTGTGTTTTCAGCTTGTCCCCAAAGTGGACAAAAAAAATCAACTAATGCAGCTTTTAAAGTTCTGATTTCAGTTGAAGGGAGGAATAGTGACAGATTGTTCAAAAACAAAACTGATGTGCTGTGAACTATTCACTAAATCATTCAATTTTCCAAGATGTTAAAGTATTGACATTTTGAAGAAAGAACCTGGGTATTTTTTGGCATTTTGGTGCATGTTATGACAGAAAATTACCTATAAAAAGGTAAAAAGTAATTTTTCTTTTCTTTTCAATCATATGAACCTCTTTGTCTTGCAGTTGTAAGTAATATGCTGTCAGTGGCCTCCTGTGTCTTCCCTCTACATTCCCTGGCTCTTCAATTGTCACAGCTTAGACAGTAAATCTGCATTTCACCCTCCACCTTCACCCAAAAAAAAAAAAAAACAGAAACTCTCCCACCCAAATAAGTGCAATAAAAACTCTCAAACAGTCGCAATCATCCACACCTACCTCCTCCTGAAACTCCTGGATGAAAAGATGCAATGGAAATTTCACTCTGTTTGTGCTGTAATTTAGCCCTCTCTCTACTCTTTTCGTCAAAAACAGAACCCCTCTCCCAAAAGACAAAAACACATGAAAATATGCACACCGGTTCCAGGTGTGGGGGGAATGTGTGGGTGAAGTTACGGTACATTTGCCATTCTAGTTGTGTGTAAATATTAGAAAGCAGCAGGTTCCTGGCGTGAAGAGAAGCCAGCCAAAGCGGCGGCACTAAGACAGGCGTCCTTATCGGTATTGTGTTCAGACTCCGGCGTGCTCCTGCTGTTTGTAATCTGCAGCCGCCGCTGTGAGCAA